CTTTGCATTACCATAAATTTTAATTGGTCAAATATGTGCAGAAATTGTAAACAGAAGGAATCATCTGTTCATTAATATAAAAATTTATGTTGTTTGATCGATATATGTTTACTAATTATCTAACGGATAAAGTCTCTCAAATGTCTGTCTTTATATGTAAACATCACTTCATCAGATCTTGTGAAGCTACGCACTTCCACCTCTCATTGCATATATCATATCGCTGGAGATAGAACCTTTTATCTATAGCATCCTTACAATATCAAGAGATTCATCATTATTTTGTGCGATTTACATGTTAACTGACATATTTTACACTGGTAAAGCTAATTTCACATTGAGAATCGTGAACTATGAATACAAAAATGTCATAATCTCTGTATAAAAAAATTCCCTTATATAATATACTACACGAACATTTTACCTCAAAGTATTAAGATGAATTCTAAAGAGAACAAAACATACTCAGTTGATTTCACTGCCAGACACTATTCGATTTCACTTGAAAACCTATAATAGAATGCTGATAACGATGCAATTTGCTCAAGATGTTCATTAACCAAAAAAGGCGATTCAAATCAGATCCTTAACATCAATAAATGGGAGATTAAAACTTAAATAAGTAAATAAATACAAATTTCATTACTGTAATAGAAAAATAAAAAGAATGATATGACTAAAAAGATCAATTTAAAATAATAATTTGTTTGTAACTGACTATCACGTATTCTCTAACTTCACCAGTAGCCCCAAAAGGGCTACTGCCAGTCCCCAGCCTGGACAAAGCAGGGTCGGGCATGGTGTTAGCGACCCCATTCCGTATAAAACTAACTCGCCAAAAAACGCTAACCAAAATCACATATTCTCTATTGATGATTATAGTACTGATAACAACTAACCAAATATTTACTTTGTGTAAATTGTAAAACGTTTTAAAATGAATAATGATTACTGAAACCGTATGTACATAACGTATGTGTTAACTATACAGATGATACAGTGCGGTACAATGACTAATTCCAATGACTTTGTAAATGTTCACTTATTGTACTTTCCCGACCGTTGTTGGTATCTTGACGTGCTGTTTGGGTAAACGGCTCGGAAGTTTAGGGACACACATCGTTGCCTTTTTGTCGTTTCTGCCTACGCTCCTACAGACTGCAGCTCGGATGAAGTGAAAGTTGAATTTTAAAGATAGCTATCTGAACTTCTTCAGAAAGCTAAAAGTTCAGACATAGTACTCGTAGCAGATAACTTTAATGCCCAGATAGGTAGTTTAAACCAAACAGAAAGGCATTTAGGCGGGTATTTTAGTATTCCGGCACAACGAACAGATAACGCAGATCGTCTTCTGCAACTATGCTCAGACAATCGTTTATTTTTAGCAAACACAAATTTTAAGCATAGGGAAAGACATCGTCTAACATGGCGACCCCCTACACCAAACCAACGATGGACTCAAATAGACCATATTACCATCGTTCATCGTTGGAGAGGGTCGGTAGAAGATTGTCGCTCATTCTGGAGTACCTGCTTGGACTCCTACCACGCCCTAATACGGGCACGCATCTGCTTGCGCCTCACTGGACGCAAAAAAGCCACATTAAAAAGACCCGTTAGGACTAAGTTGAGTAACGAGAAAACCGAAAGTAGGTTCTAGGAACAACTGAGGTAACACGTAGGCTGACCCAGATGTTGCTTGGAAAGATATACAAACGGCTGTGGAAACAGCAGTGACAACTATTAGTGACTTAAACCACAGAGTTACAAAGAACCATTGGATTTCTCCAAGGTCTATCACACTGATGGATTCTCGCAAACTCGTCCCATCAGGCTCTGAACACGATGAAGAGCGAAAGCAAATCAGATCTAGGTTAGGCAAAAGTCTAAGGAACGACGGTGAGCAGTGGTGGGCAACGGAAGCAAAAGAGATGGAAAAAGCGACGGCTATAGGAAACAAGACAGCTTTACAGACTAATAAAAGAAACTGGAATTAATAAGTCAAGTGTAAGTGAGATTATTTCGGAAAAAGACGATACACTCATCTGCTCCAGACGTTTAGAACGATGGGCGGAACACTTTAGGGAACAGTTCAACTGGCCTTCAGCTACTCTACAACTACCCACCATTCCCAGACAGTGTGAATGGAACATTGAAGTAGGTCCCCCAACTCTAGCTGAAGTTCAAAAGGCTATAGTTAATCTGAAACGAGGAAGGGCAGGTGGTTCAGATGGATTGGCTCCAGATGTCTTTAAGGATGGTGGTCCAATTTTAACGATTAGGTTGACTAATATATTAGCTAAGATCAGGGAGTTAGACGTTATTCCATCTGACTGGTCGCAATCACTTATCGTTCCAATATATAAGAAAGGGTCAAAATCATTCTGTGACAACCATAGAGGGATTAGTTTAACTAATATGGCATCTAAAATACTAGCCTCAATAATTATCGGACGCCTAAGACTCATGAACTGCAAACACGTGAAAATCAGGCTGGTTTCAGACCTGGTCGTGGCTGCATCGACATATTCACCATTCGCCGGGTTTTCGGGTACTGATCTCCTATCAGCAGGTCCACTTTTCGACTTGTAATACGCAAATGACATAGTCCTGTTCGGCAAAGGTGCTGATAAAATGTAGTCTTTTGCTGACATTGAGCAACAATCTCAGGATATTTTAGATGCGTTTCTCTCCCTCTAAATGCAAGTTGTTACTCCAGAACTGACCTACATCAAATAAAGATAGGGAGTGAAGTAGTCGAACGCATCGACAACTTCGCTTTTCTTGGAAGTCTGATCAGCACTAATGGGTTGGTGTCTGACGAAATGTCAGCACAAATTCGAAAAACTCGTTTGGCTTTTTCCAGCTTACGTCACCTATGACAAGGGCGAGATATCCATTTATCAATAAAAGGACGACCATACTGCGCAACAGTTCGTTCTGATTTAATTTACGGTTGCGAAACATGGCCGTTAAGAGTCAATCGCGTATGTTTATACAACCTCTGTATTCCCCTAAACTAGGAGATTAAAATCACTCCACATCTTTCTTTCTACGTACTAAATCTTTCTTCCTATACTATATCCTTATATGAAATCTTTTTTTATATATTACCACCATTGACTTAACTACTCCTATGAATCTGGTGTTCATGTTACTGTGCTAATGCGGTATGGCAACTTGGACAGATGCAAATATGTGCCTGATCCTACATTGTAGCTGACTGACTGACTTATTGTACTGTAAAAAGTAAATGAGTTAGTGAGAAGTCTTAATCAACTATTCTTGCCTTTGCAAAATTTTTCAAAATTTTATCTTCTATTTTTGCTTTCATCTATGCATGGTATTTCTAACCATTGATGTAACACGTGTTTTCATCCTAATTTGTTTTTCTACTTCGAACGTATATTTAGTTTCTCCAAACACATTAACGAGGACCTGTCAGTGCTTTTAATTATCAGTATCGTTTTAGTTTACTCCGTAATATGAAAATGATACTCACAATCGTGTTGCTTAAAAATATTATGTAATTAATAATTTACATCAAAAATGCTGACTAACTTTAGTCGAATCAAAATGAAAATGATGACCTACGATCCTGAACAGTTTTTAAATCAGGTCAATGTATAATAAGAGGAGTTATCGATAAATGATATCTACATTTATTATGCAACCTAGCAGTCATTTGTTCACACATATAGGTAATATTGTTTTCTTTCCAGCTGTAGTTTAACTTTGATTGATAATTCATGGATTTTTTATATTTCAGTTTGTTTGATGTTTATATTCGTGCAGAAAATCATCATTTAACTGATACATAAAGATATTAATCGTAATTAATACAATAAAATAAAAAAATATTTCATAAAATTCTCTAAAGCTGACAACTATGGTCTTAATTTATGAATAACTATGTATCCATAATACTAAATGTTTTTGAGTAAATTAAATACTGAGCACAAGAAAAAGTTTCTATGACCAAGTTACAACTAGAATTCGGTTATAATTCAATGAAAATCTTTACTGTTTATCAGTAAGTTTTAATACTGTAAAGACAAATTAAAAGCGACTCTTATTCTTATGTGAACTTGATCGAAGAAATTTATTCATATCTCAAAGAAACATGCAATTTATATGACACATAAAAGGTTAACATGTGTGACTGTTAGTGAGATTAAGAACGATATATATATATATTGCTTAATACACCAAATATGCCAAAAAATATAATTAGAAGAAGAAGAAATGCCATAAAATAGTGTATTTCAAGTTTTTAATAAAAACAAGTGGTTAGTTTAAATTATCTTATATTATATAGTAATATATATTCTAGTGGCTTGGCTTCGAGATAGTTCCTTATATTTAGTTTACCAATCACCTTGATGACCGTTATCATTTAAACTCCAACAGTTTAAGAGTTCAGAAGGCAATGAGAAACGGCGACTAAAGTTTATTATTGAACAACACAGATAATAAAGTTACAAACAAGTCGAGCGACTTGCAACAGATAGACTAATGTATGTGAGCGGATTTATAGTCAACTGTGATCAAGGCCCAGTGAGACAAGACAAAGTCTAAGCTTGTTGGGGAGAAGCAAAAGAAATTGATAAGATGCATATATACAGACATGATAGCGATTATAATAATACAAAGAAATAAACGAATTGTTACTGTTCGAATAACACTACCTGTTGAATTAGTTGACTGAAGGACTTGACTAAAATTGACCGTAAACAAACTTAATTATAGAAGAGTAGCTACAATGTTATGAGATAAATCATTTCATTTAAAAACAACCATTAAATGTATTCACATAAATAAGTCCAATTAATTTTCGAATCTTGTGAGGCGGGATTATGGATGTGCACTATTGAAAAGTCCCACAATAGAACAAAACGGCCCTTCCAATGCTTCCAAGTTTTCCATGGTGATCTAGCTTCAACTAACTTATAATCTCAACTATTAAAATTATATCAAATACTTTAATATATAAAACTAACCTGATCATTTTGTATATCTCCATCTAAATTAGATAACAATTGAAAATTACATTGTTGTATCCAATATGAAATAACTGGTCGAAACCATGTATACCAATCGAAATCAATTAATTTCTTTGATTCACTAAATAAATCAAATAAATATTGACTAATAATCAATAATTAATAATCAACCAGTATTCTATACTATTTAATGGACAATTTAATTTTCAAAATAAAACTAATTTCTTATTATTTAAAATTTATTTAAATAAACAGATGACAAGAAACAGTTAATTAACCTTGATAGTTTTTAACATGACTGATAAACAGTTTAAATAAAAGAAATTTATTATTATCATTATTACGGTTAGAGTTAAATTACAAAGACAATTTTCTCTTTCAGTTAACATTAGATAAATAGAATAACTAATTGTATGTGGCAGATGAAATTGGATCTAATTGTTTTGTTTTTTTTTTGTTTTATTATCTAGAAATTAACACTACAGTAAGAAGAATATGAAAACTGTGATGTATACATTCAATTGATTTATAATGAAATCATAATTGTATAATGATCAGTTGTTTATGTTTTATTATTTTCTTTATTCAGCTGAATGTTTAAATTCAAATTCATAGCAAATAGTATACATGAATTATCAAAGAAGTTATTATATGAGTCCAGTTATAATAAAAATAAAAATATTTATGGATGAAAAATGAAAATTTAAAAAATAAATATTCCAAGGAAAAATCAGAACTGTTTTGAGCAGAGATGGATGGTGGCTAGCAGTGGAATACAGTTTGATACGGGTTTCGTCCTATTCGGGACTCATCAGCCGAGTGTACATGCATATTAAAGTTGATATTCATTCCGAGAATCGAACTCAATACCATTTACTTCAAATGCCATCGCGTTATTCAATGAAATACTGAATCCAGATAGCCACCAGCTTGTGCCATGGGGCAAAGTTTGTCTTATTTTTGTATGGGTTATCGGAATCTTACTACTGACGTTCAGGTTAGCGATTGATCAAGATCTTATTCGCATATGTACATCTAGTTCATTTTCATCGATATTGCCTTAGATCATAAGCTTTATTAGCAGAGATTCTTTTCCTCCGCCAACTATCTTCAGTGTCAATTATAGGTTTTGGTAAATGGTTTTATTAAATGTTTTTTAAGCATTAATTACCATGCATAAAATGAACCTGGTCAAAATTTTAATGGTTGATATCATGAATAAATTAAAGCTAAACTACCAGTAAAAACTTGAAGCACTAGACGGCCAGTTCAACTTATTGTAAGACTCCTTAGAAGTGCACATCTACGATCCCACCTCATGAGATTCGAACCCAGGACCTATCAGTCTCGCTTGCGAACACTTAACCTCTAGACCACCGAGCCAAAAAAATTGTTAAATAATTTTGATATGAAATTGCAATCAACAGTTTACTATACTAAATGAACTTACCTAGATTTTATTTTGATGTCATACATATTTTCAAACTTTTTAAGTAGTAAATAAAGAACAAATAATGATTTCAATTCTAGAGATTTTGTTAAACACTGTTTACCAGTTGAAAAAGATGATTTAGTTTCCAATTCTTGATTTATTATTGGTTGTACTAGATTTTGTAGAACATTGATATTTATGTAATCATGATGTAGCTAAAATGTAATATAGATTTGAGTGATAAATTAAGAAAATTTGTGATTTTTTACTAAAATGGTTAGAAAATCTTATAGACCGTAGTACTTCAACCGATCCTCTTAGATGAGATTACTTCAAAAGTGATATTTGATAGAAATTTCGTCTATATGGTTTCCGGTGATCTACAGATTAGGATATTTTTCCTAGTCCATAAGGCCAAAACGTGTTATTACAGCTCAGAAATATATAAACCTAAATGATAAACGCAGTGCCAGAACAGTTTATTTCACATCCATTGTTTTCTACCTAAAAAAGCGAACTCAGTGAAATGCTAGTGGGTTATCAAATAACTACTCGTTTACATTCAATATCCATTCTATTGATAACTCAGCCAGAAGATTCACCTTGCACATTTTCTATCAAATCATACTTTAAAAATAACATACAAAGTTATTTAGGGAAAGCGTTTCGTCCTACATGGTACTTATTGCATGAGATGTTCTTGCATCCCGGTATAGATGCTCACATTTAGACTCGAACATAGCATCTTTTACTTCAAACGTAACCGTATTATTCTCTGAGCTACTGAATTCAGATAACCACTGGTGTGATCTATAAGTAACATTTTTATGTTCTTGTTGTAAAGGCTTTGACATTTGAAAAACTCAAATCATCCCTGAAACTCTAAAATATTCATTTTTAAGCTTGAATAAACCTACAATATTAGAAGAAAAGGATCATTAATAAATCAATAAAATTCTGAGACTAAAAATGACTAAAATATCTTCAATTGTTTAAATAACCCACAGAATTTGCATAAAATTTGTACATATTTATAAAAGGATCCAAATCCAGATACCTGTAATCAAAGGAAAATTAAAAAAGTTTGATTTAACCAAATTATTTCATTATTTATTCTAAATACAAAGTCGATTTTATACTGAAGTGACTGTGATATAAAAATATTGTTTTTATTTGAACAAACGTTTTTAAAAGAAAGCTATCATTCGTGTACATGGTTATGATTTTCATCGTATACTGTATATCACAAATAAGATGAATCGAAGAAAATGACATATTCTTCACGTCAAATTTTACACGTAAGCATAGTGGATAAAGTTTCAAAACGTTCAGTATTACTTACATCAATCAGATTGTAGTACCAGAAGAATGTTATTCAATAAGCCCAATAGTTACCATCATGAATTGAATTTAGTTAGACAACCACTGAAAATAAAAAACCTAAGCTTTTTCTTCCTATTATAAAATTCCTCAGATTTGGATGCCCATAGTCTTAAGATCTTAGAGCTGAGCTCAAATGGTTTGCATGTTAAGCGCTTACCGTGAGATTTAAGTATCCCAGGCTAGACCTCTGCTAGGCTTGTGGATACATACAACAAAAGAATACCATACTAAAACAAAGTAGCTCTTCAATGAAAGTGTATTCAATTGTTATCTGACGAAGATTTATCTGTGATATGAGCTTTCAAATTAGAAAATTTTCACAATAACCTATGATAATAATTAAATCTGCTCAATTCACAACATTAGAAATTCCCTTATTTGACTAAGAATCTTGACTACCTTTGAAAATCTAGTTGTTTATTTATACGGCTGACATTTGTTTAATTTACATTTTGTAATTTTTGATGTTTTAGTATAAGATTTATTGAAACTACAATGCAATGAGAAATGTATGAATCTAAACAGCTGTATTAAATGTTTGTACATTCATTCAATTGTTGATCACTGATAACAAATTTTCGTAATATGTGATAAATATGTGATAAAATATCAAAACAATATATTCAAGAGCCCTTGAATTAAGAGACATGTTTACTATGTTAACCATCTGTTGTTATTTTGTTAGAGTTTAGATTTAAACGATCAAAATGTATTAAATATAAATAATTGTTTGCTTTTAGATAAGGTGAAATGTGCTAATATCTATTCATGAAGTTGAAGAGAAAAACTACAAAGAAATTGAAGTTAATTCCAAAGATATTTACATGAAATAAGGTTCTAGCTTGGCGTTTACAAATATTCATAATTAAAAAAAACCCATAATTTAAGAAATTATGATTGATGGCTAATCAGTGTTCTTCTTATACCGGATCTATATAATGGTAAGATAATGGTTAATCTATACACACAGTTTACTGTCAAATCTACAATAGAATTATACACTTGATATTTTGTTCACTACAACACTAACCATTGGAAATCCTTAGTTTTCTAATGAGAACTAAACAAATTACAGATAAATTAATCCAATAAAATGCACTTCTTTCTGGTCAAAGAGTTTAACATACACTGATCATCATTATTTTGCGCTATTCATATTAAACTACGGTTCGAACTAATAATAAGTTAGATGACCACCTAATAATTGTCATGTTTATGGAAACAGATCAGAGAGTTTTGTTTATTGTTTTTAAATATCTACCAGAACATACTTACTATTAACAATCATACTATTTTAAAAATTATTTTTCGTAAAAAAACAAAACTTATTAAGTCTTAATGAAATTAGAATTATCACGTAACTTTGTATTTGATTATCTTTGAACCAAAAGAATTTTAGTCTGTTCTACATGTATTCTTATAAGTTCATTATATTAGAAATGCTTCTTTCAATACATATATTAAAGTGAATAATAACTTATTCAGTTGTAATATTATTTCTTTTTATTCATTATGACCTTAAATTCACAAGTCATTAAATTACACAATCTATTATTTATTCTAAACAACAAAAACGTTTTTTAACTATACTATAGAAAATAATAGAACTTTAACCTTACTAATTATACAAAGTATATATGTATACAACTGTTTAGGTTACTTTTCTATTGTGTGTAAGAACCAATATGGCATACATCTTGTATTATTATTGTATCATAAGATAATAACAATACTATTAATAATACTAATATTAACATAAATAAGCGGTCGAATGAAACTAAATTGGATTATTATGTCATTAATATGAATAGTAATTCATAAGAATTATTTTCATATATTCATCATCGAAGAATAGAATCAGTCATCCATGATGAATACTACTTATAATAACAGTGTATATATATAGTACAAAATCATAATAGAGAAATATATCTTCATATACTGATTATTTCATTTTATACAAAACTATACTTACTTTTTAATAATTGGTGAATAAACTTCACAACATTTTTCCAAATCAATAATCAACAATTTAATCAATAATATTAATTGAGATATTTCATAATGTGCCAAATCCAACTTCTAATTAAAACAAAACAAAATGAAAATAATTCATCATAGAAACAAAAGTTGCTATAATAATTTTTTTTATTTTCAACACATCAAAATAGTCAATTGATTTTGATAGAAATGATAATAGAATCCGTTTTATACTCATTAGTGAATGTTAGGCAATTCCATATTATCTTTTTTTGTTAAATTATTTTTAATGATAAACTGTTATATCTACAATAAAGTTTACTTCAGAAGTCTATTTACTTGCTTACTTATTCACTTATTTACAACTGTTACTCTCAGAAGAGCATAGGCCATCGACCAGCATTAATCGTAAAAAACAAAATCAATCAAACGAGTGTAAATATGAAGTACATATTATTATATCAATTGAATAGAGCACTTTATGAACTGTACACAACCTTGCCAGAATAAAATATACATTAACTGTGAACATGGGTCGATTCGTTTCTACCAATTAATTATTATCTTTAAAATCAACTAGTTAGTAATTTAACACAATCAAAAAAAAGATAATTTGCAAACATTTAAAGTATTGAATGTTAGTTACATTTACAAATACTACTCAAATGTATATATTAATGAAATGAATTTAAAAAATATTTAAATGGTTTCCGCTCTATCAAGCCTAATTATAAAACACAAACATAATTACATTTTAAACAAATTGAATTTTAATAATAATTATAGTAACTTGTTTTCTAGGCAACAAAGCTTCAAATGTTATTTGTTTACAATTATTAAAGTAAAATAAACTTCTGTAGAAATATTTTTCACTTGCGAATAAGTTTAATTAGTGATTATCTTTTTAAAAAAGGATAGAAACAAATTTTATTGGGAGCTTTTTGAACATTTTAGTAATATAATAAGTTTTATTAATAAAATAGAATTGTGCATGAAAATGTTGGAGATATCAGGTCAGGATACATCCATTAAAACAAAGTTGACAAAAGATCAGATCAGATACAATAATTTAGGTTTTATATTCCTTTTAAACTATGTTTGCTAGTGAAAAAGAATGAGAAGAATTTACAGGAATAAAAAATAATATGTGTTTGTATATATTACTTATATTACCTAGTCTATAGGCGAACTCGCGATCAAACAATGGACAATATATTATAAGCACATACAGATAGTAGCTAGCAGTGGAATTCAGTTTGATGCGCGTTTCGTCCTATTTGTAACTCGTAAGCTGGACGTACCTGCATATCACAGTTGATGTTCACTTTGAGACTCGAACCCAGTACTGTTCTCTTCAAACGCCATCACGTTGTCCACTTAACTACATTGTCCTGATAGCCACTTGTGAAGTTTAAATTCACTTGGAGTTGTTCTGCTTGCATCTTCTCACTGTTTTTTAAAACTGCAATTGATCAGTCCCATGTTGGCATATTTTCAGGTACATCCAGATGACGAGTCTCAAATAGGACAAAACGCGCGTCGAACTGGATTTCACTGTTTGCCACTATCCATCTTTGTTTGTAATGCTTGTGAATTAAGGCAATATCGAGGTATGCACATATGCCGATAAGAGATTGATAAATTACAGTCCTAAGCATCAATGGGAAGATTTATGTAAACAATACGAAGTCCCATAATACGGAGTCTTACAACAGGACGAAACGGCCATCCAGTACTTCCAAATTTTCCATGGTGCTCTAGCTTCAATTGACTGATGAACTCAACTATTGAAATTACAAAAATCTCTACAAAACGCCTTCTGATACTAATACAAAGTGAATTTAAGAGATAATACATTAATTTTAAACTTACATCGGTTTTTCCCATAACGGCGGCTTTGTGTTTTTCATAACGTGCAAGAACAAATTTCTAAACAAAATTCAAAAAAAATTTGAATGAAATACATATTTGTTTTTATTTTATTTGTAGCACATAAAATACGTAACACAATTACGAAGACAACAATTGTTGATTTCACAAAAAAACTGTGGTTGGAATGAAAAAAAGATACTCGAAATGCTGTCACATAAAACATAATTGTCTACAAATAGATAATATGTTACTGCTGATATTACTAGCGTTATTTAGTTTTAAAAAAGCTGAACTATTTAATGCAATTTTGTATCGGTTGTTTGAATCTTCCCATTGATGTTTAAGATTACAGTTGATTAATTTCATATTGACATATGTGCATCCTGTGCGAATCGCATTATAAGCAAAGATGGATGGTGGTTAGCGGTTAAAACGAATTCACGCATCAGCTGGTTGTACCACTATCCAAGAGCTGGTGTTCACTGTGGAACTTCAACCCATTACCGTTCACTTCAAACTCCATTGCATTATCCACTTAGCTAACTGTACTGGGTTGGAATGCCGAAGTGAACATCAACTGTAAGATGCAGGTACATCCAGCTGACGAGCGCTAAATAGGATTTAATGAGCGTCCTGGATTTCTCGACTAGCCAACATTCATCCTTACTAAACAATGATTTTAAAATAGTTTTTCAGGGATGACGTCTGAGAATAAAATTATTTATTGAAATGTATCATTTGTAACTAAAACATTTTATTACTGATCGCCATTCAATGTATAATTTTATGTATGGTTATCAATCTTAAGACTAGTTTTTATTTAATTTAAATTACGATAATAATTTCTAAATATTTTTTTCGTTACATAACCAGAAAGAGTCACATTCTACATTTGGGTTAATTTTGAGTGTGTAATATATAGATTATTGATTAATATCTCCTCCCCCCGTCAAAAAATGCTTTATTGTTTTACACCATAACTGTTCTTAAATGTATACAGTATATAAGGAATATTTGGAATTCAGCGATAAGAATTTTCCAGTTAAAGATATTATTTACAAAAGCTAAACATTAGTATCCATAGTGATTTGATGGATGTATGAGTTGGAAGTTTTTAGGTATGATATGACGCAGATGTCAGGGCACAAATTGATAAAACAAAGGAAACATTCCTACAACTAAAGAATACCTGGAATTAAAAAAAACTGACATTGGAAAGCAAAATCAGAATTTTCAACACTGAAATGAAATTGGTTTTGTTGTATTTGGTTAAAAATAAAAAATTACCACAACTATCGTCTGAAAGGTACACGTATTTATGAACAACTATTAATGCAAGATATCTCAGGATCATTGGTAAGATTTCATCAACAATAATCTAGTCTAGCAGAGAACAAATCACCTGCCAGTTAATGAGTGGCTAGCAAATGACTCTATGATAAAACAATATTTACGGAAACATTCACACTACTTCACAAGGCCAGCTCTTACTTCGAACACACAATGGAAAAGGAAAGGGAACAAATCGAAGAAAACATGTCTCCGTCAATTACAGCTATACAGCCCAGGACAGAGTTTTTTCGAGATCCTTAATTTACTGTCCATAGTGCAAAGTCTCTGGCTGTGAAGCTGGGTGACACGGGATCGAATCTGTCAGGGTGTACTAGTTCCCTCACGATTACAGGTACACCTTGATGACGAGTACCAAGTAGAACGAAACCCGGTTCCATAGTTTCCCAATGATTACGTCCAACCACCATCTTATTTAGAGGTTTTAATCAACAAAAGACGAGCAAGTAATAATCTAGAAGTTAAGGAATAATACGGAGATTTACGTGCTAGAAAACTGAAAGACGATTGTTCACCACTGTAAGCACAACTTTATAGCTTTATTAAATGATTTCGTCGTAGAGAAAACTTCACTGAATTCTATTGATTCTTTACTCATAGATACAAAGGGTAGCTTTAAGTATTCATTAATGTTTGATAATTGCAATGAAGTTTTGTTAAGAGAAAAGTGTATGCTTAAGAAAAGCAGCCAAAATTTACAATTGTGTTAAACTTAGATTTGCATGTTAATTACAAAACAAACCGAAAAGTAACGTCCATTTCGGTTAAACGTTTTACTATTTTCTAATAATTAACTAACCGGGTTTTTTTGAGAGGAAACAAAATACAACAATAAACTTTACAACAATTAACTACAGAAGTACAACGTGTAAAATTCAACATTTCATTAGTCTACCTTAAATGATGTAAGAAATTCTTTTTGTAATGAATTAGAGAAAGGTGAACTGAACTGATATAAACGTGAATTATGCAACATACATAAACACCTTTAAATAATATAAAGTAAAAATAAAAGAATTGAACAATTGTATGTAGAATTTTAAAAAATAAACATTTTTAAAATCAAATTATCAATAACCCCAATTGTTTGAATCAATACATGAAGAGAAGTCAATTAAAACAAAATGATGTTCAATGATTTGAATAGGTTAGATTTTTTTGACTTTATTTAAACTCAGATGTGTTTAAACGATGAAAAGACTAAACGATTTAAATAAATTGAAATTTTAAAATGAAAATCTTGTCACTAACACATATATGAAGTAATAATGTGATTTCTGTTGTGGTATTCGTTACAGATCGACTTTCAGTTAGAGCTCTGATCAAGAACTGAACAGTTGTAACGCTCTATCATAAAAATATAAGTGATAAATGTCGACCAGTTATGAGTTCGGACGTAGAACATTCAGATTTCAAAAAGAGACCTAACCGTTAGATTATTAGCTTGGCTTCTGATATAAACGACTTCATGATATAGCTTGACAACTTTCGCATGTCGCCGCTTATTGTTATTTCACATTTAAAATAACTGAACTATGACTACGATCTCCTACTAGAACTCATTGCACATATTTCGAAATAATAACACATTTAAAATTGAATGTTCAGGAATACTCATTTTCATATTAATGTAAACATTTGTAATTTATTTGTTGATAGCGAAATATAGCAAAAACATTAGATTCCGACTTAGTAGTCTAAAGGTTAAGTGCTAGCGCACTATACATAAGCTCCTGTGTCAAAACCCTACATGCGAAATCTTAAATGCGCATTGGTGAGAAGTCCTGAAGTAGGACAAAACTGCCATTTATTGCTTTCAAGTATTCAATGGTGATCTAACATTGATCCATTCATGATCTCAATCAAAAACTCAATAATCTCTATAACCGTATACTGATAAAAACATTATACATCTAATAAAGCTTGTATAAACTTTATTTGCTTCCCAGTAACTTATTTTCAATGGTTGAGATCATGAGTCGATTGAAACTAGAACACCATGGAAAACCTGGAAGCACTGGACAGCCATTTCGTCCTATTGTGGGACTCTTTTTCGTGGGACTTGTTTTTCTTAATTGATGAAATTAGTCCATGGTTCTAAGTTTTACAACAAAATTAACATCAACTAATATGCAGTGCATAACTTTTAATAATTTGAAGTTGTTCATTAAACAAGGAAAACAACCATTGTTTATCCTTATCATAGACAAACTGAAATGAAACCAACTACTCATCATCAAAACAACTAAAGTTGTTATTTTTTTCTAATGTTTTACAACTCACGAAAAAAAAGATTAAAATTTTCTTTGTATTGATTTCACTCTTTCAATAAATTTAAAATTTCATGAAACACCATAGAAATGATGATTCAAAAGAAAAAAATAGGAAACTTATTTTATGCGCACTGCTGAGAAGTCCCACAATAGAACGAAACGGCCATCCAGCGCCTCCAGATTTTCCATAGTGATTTAGCTTCAATTGACTCATGATGTTAACCATTAAAATTATTTAAATTTGTTTACATTTTATTCACAAGAGTTTAAGGTTAACAACGTTACGTTTTGTTTTCATGTTGATCAACTAATTATCTTTATTTTCTTAATCATAATCCAGTATCAATTTTACATTTGAATGTGTGAACAATTTATGTAAATCTTATCAGGTAGTTGTTTAGAAACCTTTTTCTTCTGTATCACTTTGGCATCTGAATAACAACAAAATCATGCGAAATATCTCGTATATTCCAATTTAAGTTAATAATCAATTCATTGTAGTCTTACACTTAAAAACGTTGGTTATCACTGCCTTGCTAACTGTTCTACCTGATCGTTGCTATTTGTTATGTTGGAATCGCTTATTACTTCTATTTGTAAAGCGAGGAACCAATACAATTCCCACGAAACGAATTAAGAACACTAAGAATGCTACAATGAAGATTTATTAATCCCAAACACGTTGACAACACTAGTCGAAAATACACTTGTTTTTATATTGTTAGTAAACCTATTTTGATTACTGATTAGGATAAAATCACATATATGAAAAATACCCCGGGGTCATAACAAATCACATGTTCCATGTCATGCTGAATATAGTTCATGTTAACTTAGTGTTATAATGTCATATAATATCCCACTGGAAATCAAAACCAAATGCTACACTAAGTAATTATCGCATTCAATTAAAGCAAAAAAAACCCCGGAAATAATGTTGAACAAAAAGTACTATGAGGAAAAGAATGTCATTTTATCCTTACATCCCATTATATCAACGTTATATGCCAATAATGTCAACAATCAATATTTACAATTATACTGTAATAATTATAATTTATAAAAGTTAACATTAGAATATCTAACTTACTCAAGTAAATGATTCAAATCTAATACATTGTCTGATTGAGCATTATGGAAGATTAAATTATAGTTACATATCATAATTAAAGAATGTTCTGTAAATACTTTAAATGAATCTGATAAATAATTTAGCTACAATATAAAAATAACATTCAAATAGTTTAAATATGGTATTTAATTATAGTTAATATTTTAACATCAAATTAATCCACTTACTATCCTTTATTAAGTTGATTGGTAAAGTTAATACTTGAAAACTGGAATGTTAAATGTCATAAAAATCAACTAATCTCAACTGAATAGTCATCTGCAAAAGTAAAGAATATCATATGTATTTATTTCATATTCATATAAGTAAAGATACAAAACACAATCATTTGAAGTAAATACTTAAGGGCTGATTAAGGAATGAACATCTACTGTAAGTGGAATACGTATACTGTACACATCAGGATATTTAAAAGTAACAAATAGCTACGCTTCTCATCACAAACATATCGAAGGTCATAAATTACTAATTCAGACCATTATGTAGCTCACATATCACTAGTAATTATAAATTAATCAGTATGATGATTATCTAAAGGCACGATACATATAGAAAGCAATGTAAACGTTATTAACGACATAAAGTGGTATAACCTTGTGCAATACCTCATCATAAAAAAATGTCATTATCTATATTTACTGGAGCATCACTAAATTGTAAAACGTTACGAATAGTTTGTTTACAACTTTTGCAAACTAATACCATCTTGAGAACTGTTAGAAACCTAATAACGTCGAACAGACAATTCTTTCATATCCAAGACTCCTCAACAGTATTTTGTTGAGGAATCATCATAAATAACATATTTTATTACTGGGTATCTTAGGCTCCAGGGTGATCCTCAGATCACTGAGTTCAATTACATTTCCAACTATAGTTCATACACAATATATTCTGTTAATTAGTTAATAACATTGGTATGTATCCGATTTATTCATGAGGCAGTACAACATAACCAGTAACGTATGTTCACTGGAAAATCAGAAAGCCATATCGAAACAATCCACTAATGAACGCAACTATTGTCTGTTTGATTTGCGAAAATGGACAAAATTTGATCATCATTTATATCACGAATGGTCATATCACCGGTTCAAATAATACAAGCAAACAACTTCTTACACTGATTCTATTAAGGAAATTTCAAATTCTTTAACAAATTCAACAAGATAAAAACATTGCGGGCTTTAAATTTATAACACAGAAGATATTTATTAACGGGTTGAGTATTTATACTGAATCAAACAGTTAGTTAAACGAACGATAATTTCCTAAAACAAGAATAAAGGAAAATCACTTTCTGTATCCATTTGAAATCAGTTGTATAATTACCAACAATAATCGATCCTAAGCTAAATAGACCAGAAATGGTATATGGGATGTAAGTAACCCATTTCATAATAAATTGAAAGCTTTTTACTTAAAAACATTACCTAAGAAAAGGGTATTCTAAGATCATTGTAAGTGACAACATTTATCTAAGTAATCGAGTTAAAGATTCTTTATGAAAAACTTTAAAATTGACTGTAAACTTATAATATATTTTTCGTGTTAACTCTACACATTTTCCTAGGAACGTCTGTTATGTTCACAAATTTCAAAGGTCAATTAAGTTAGAATACCATGCTTATAGTTGGTTCATTTAATACGAAACTAAAAATTCTGTACTGTCCAAAATCAATCATGAAGCATGAATTAAAAAAAGCGTTAACTCTAGATGAAAATAAATTCATTAATAAACATGTCATAGTACAATATCCTCAAGCAACAAATCATTAACTGGTGTGGTGTATGCTACTGATATCGACAGATGTAAGCATTATGTATCACTAATCGAAAGTGGATTGTCTGAAGGCAGATGATTGAAACATTCAAAGGGAATAGAACAAGAACAGTAAGTAATTGGTATGGAATTGAAGTAACAACAAAGTCTGGGACATTTGATGGACATTTTGCAAATTAAGTAGTTACTGTATGCTTCTCAGATTTTACCCAAGATATTCTGTAATTCAGTTTTTTTACCAAATCAACTATTATGTAAGTTATTTCATTGCTATTAAAATGTATTTAGATGAATATGATGAAAAAATAGCCATAGTGAAAGAATAATTTGTAAAAATAACTTAAATGAACAAAATCATTGATTCATATCATATTCCTTCTAGAAGGTTATAGGTGAATTTGAACTTATTTGTTGCTTACAGTTCCCCGATACTTTGATTTAGACAACACTATTCTACTATTCTATTGAATTCAACAATTCGATTGGTATAATTATCATTTTTACATTGTCTACGTAACCAAATGTCATAATTTCTTTCTTCATAGAGTGTAATGAGTCACATTATATTTTTGTGGTGACTTATTTGAATAATACAATTTCTGATAACTCTCTTTATAGATCAATAATTAATATCTTCATGAATACAATGAAAAATTTGTATATACACGTCTTATCATTCGTAAATGTACTTCATATAGATGGAGTTTTATAACTTTGTACAAAACAAAAGTATTGAAGTAATGATTATAATTGGAAAACAAAAGTTTGATTTTCCAAGAAATGCTTTATTATGATAAAAAACTTCAATCTGTCAGCAATATATCTTACCTCTTCTCTAGTAAGTAGTTTATCTGACCATAATGATATGAGATGTTTGAATGTATGTAAAAGAATGATTTGATCCAATGATCTAGTATAATTTAATCGAATCAAGGCTATCCACTGACTGTAAATCAATGAAATAGAAAAAAATGTTAAAACGATTTAATGTCATAAGTTTACGGTTAAATGCTTTTTATTATTTCTTACTCAAACTTATTTTACAATCTGAAATTACTGAGTGAATAGAATGATTTTGAACTATGTAAATTGGGGATTTTTATGAGATTTATATATTGCAGTATAGAATGACTTTTAGTAGCCAAAATGTCTAGTGTTATAACACTAACTCTTATGTGAACAAGCTCTTAAATACCACATAAGTGTATGTACACTTGCAAATACTTTTACAGTAAGCTGATCGCTCATTTTTTAAATAGTAATTTGAACCGTTCCAAGTGTTCAGGCTAAAAAATGGCTTAAGACAGTACTAACTTTGTATAATTGAGTTGGGTATTTTAAATGTCGAATTTTGTACATTCAGAAGACTGAATATAGTATGAATATGATAATCTAACAAACGTTTATTCACAAATATATATAAAATATGCTGTGATCAGTGTCTAGTAACATAATGATATGATTAATCTTCAAGATTTTGTTCCCCTTAATTGATTAATTGAAGTACATTCAAAAGTCGTACAAACAGTAATGTCTTCAAAATATACAAGTTTCTTGTCTAATACTAATTTAATTTGTATCATGTAACGAAATGGTCAGAACAAAAGTAATTTAACTTTGAATGATAAACATTACCATATATACTATTTTTTATTCATTTGCTCAAATTGTATACGGAACAAGTTTCCATTATTGATTAATTTAAGAAAAAAAAAGCATTGAATCAATATTCCCTGCGTCATATATATCTTAACTTGACTAATAACTTAATAACGTAATAACAATAGATAATTAATAAATTAGATCATTTAGTAAATTACTTAAAATTGTACCGAATTACCACATGATCGATAACATGCATATAATTTAGATATAAACAAAGGATTCAGCTCTTATTAATGTCTCTTTTTTTTTCTAAAAAATGTACAAACTATTGCAAATTATTAAAATATATGTAACTTACCACATGGCAACTTGTATTTCTGTCAGTCCATTTTGAATAGCATGTTGATGAAGAATAATTTCACCTTCTTCAACGATACTTCCATTCCATGGTATTCCAGTACTCTAAATAAATAATGATGAAGATTGTAAAACAACACCTAATAATACTGATAACAAATAGATTATCAAGGTATTAAATCGAACACGCTAGATTTTAGATTTGTTGAGTCATATATATCAAAGTGTTTTTATACATTATTTATGATATACATATGAATTACTGAATAACATATCCATTTTGACGTATTCATAATTGATTGAATAATTTTAATGATTTAATAAAAAGAAGCTTTTTATACTCATTTCGAAACCTTGAGTAGTTAAGCTTCTAAAAATCTTCCCTTTGAAAGCCAGCTCAAGATACAATACCAAATTTAAAGTGCACTGAACATTTTATGTTAACGTTTGTCAAAATAAAAGGTGGAAAGAGCAATGGGTCATCAATACTGTTATGAATGTCTATGTTATTGAATTATTCGTCCGAAAGTCAGGTTTTTTGTTAGTGATAAATAGATATCACTATTCAAGGAACTAGTACGACCATAATGTTGTAACTTCTATGATACAATTCTTAATACATTGAAATCACACAAAATTACCTACAAAGCGTCTTTCCATTGGTTACTCCAGAAGAAGTGACATTTAACAAAGTCTTTAAAAAAAAATACACTTCAAAATTATTACATTTAAATTTAACCCTTATTGTTCCCATTTTAAAATAACAAAAAAATGTTAATTAACATATTATTTCAGTAAAACAAAAATACATTAAGATTCATATACAGCGTTGAAACTTTAAAGTTTCAATTCCTGTTCCTCTACTTGAATAAAAATGTTTGTCATTTTATATTACATTTGATTACGGTACCTTAGTAAATTAATTAAAACAAACAGTGAAATGTTAACTGTATACAACTATTCAGTTCACTGTAATAAAATATTTTATTTAAACATAAACTGATATAGATCATTATAAGTAACTTAACGACGAACTACGGTAACCACATATATTTTTATGACTGAATGGTTTATAAATGTTAAAGTCCCTAGAGGAAAACAGATTTAAATCTACTTATATATATATATATATAATGTATTTAAGAAAATATAACAGTTCGGTCTAACAACCGATGTTGTACTCATTACTATATTTATGTATTTATAGTTTTAATGAAAGAAAATAAAATGCTACTGGATGTTTGGTGATTAAATCAGTGTTAGCCATATGTTTTATTTTATTCGGTAGAAGATATAAATATATAATGAAACCAAATAGAAACAGTTAACATTTCATCTCACAATGTTTAATGTACCTGTATAGGTGAATAAGTAATCAGTTATAGTCATGAAAAGATTCATAACCATTGCTTAAACGAACAATTTTTTTCTATAATGGTTAGTTTTGTTTTTCTATATTTGATTAACGTTCTACAAATTTGCATGTTTCAGCTGTATTTAATGCTTTTCGATTAAAATTTAATAATCCCTGTGAGTAACAAAATTCAAATGGAAATTCTATGAGTTTAACTATATAGTGTTAGACTATAATTTATGAACGAACCAGTCAGATATAAGATAAAAGGTCTTGGATTTTGGCGCTAAATTCACTCATCCATTAGGTTAAATAGAGTTTTGGCATTATAGTCGATGTCAATTCGTGATGAAAACTTTATATCTCATTCTTAACCTTAACCATCAACTGTAAATCATAATTCTGATTCCTCACACTGGTTTGTAATCCTCGTTAGATGAACACTCAAGGTCACTTTAGAGTGGTTCAAATGACGTCCATAAATTATAGTCTCACCATCAAATAATTTGTAAATACATTATGTTTATTTTATCATAGTTTATTAAACAGTAAAAAGACAGTATAACTTATTTTGTTATTATCAACTAGTAATGTATTGTTTAATCATCAGTATATTCATTGTTTGTCGATTCTATCTATAGAACATAGTCAACACGGATAATTAATCAATATCACATTGCTTATGACTGGTGAATAACAAGTGTTCAATGAATGTAGTCTTGTACACATGTTAAATATATTAAAATTAATACTCAAATAATGTATATAGTAAATATGAACTTGAGATAACACAGAGATAATTCGAATTATGACAGGATATACTGGCAGTAAGCTTATCATACATTAACTTGTTAAAATATTTTGTTTGTTTGTTTACTTTTTTAAATAAAAAGGTCAGATAATCAAATCAATGAAAAACTTTTCGACAAAAAATGGATAAACAGGGGCTAAGGAAAAAGTATAATGTTCACACCATTAAAAAAAAAGAAAACATGAAATCGATATATATAATTTTTTTCAAGAAGTAGATTGATTGACGATGACAGTGTTTCGAATCATATAATGATTGTTCATTGTGTTTTACAGTATAATTTTCAGTAAACTTCCGATTACCACGACACGCAATGCTGACTAGTGTAAGGGATGATTAGAAGAAAGTTAGGGGCAGCTAAACCAAAACGTCACTAACTTCTAGTCTGAGCCATGTTGGTAGATGCAGACTACGTGGTTGGGGTCTGCGTGACTATCTTAACCAATGGTTGGAGAATCTGAGTGACATGGCTCAGAATCGATCACAGTGACGTAGGCGCATACAATTTTTGTCTTCCCTTAAAGTGTGAAATTAAAATTGATTTATATCTTTCTACGAACTAGTTCTCTTTCTCTGTGTATTGTATATTTATATGCTATTTTTCTTCATGTTACTACCATTAGAGTAACTAATACTATGACTTTGGTGTTCACCTTGTGTTATTGAAGTGTTGCAACTTGAACCGATGTTTCTATGTGTCTGGCCCTACGTTATAGATGACTGACCGACTGAAATCATTCTTTCTTGTTCTCAAACATTAGTAATCACTAGTAAATATAGAGGTTAAGCGTTCGGGCGTGAGATCAAAGGTCTTGGGTTTTACTTCCAAGTGAGGAATCGTAGATGTGCACTGTAGAAGAGTGCCATACTACGACTAAACGGCCACTCAGTGCTTTCAGGTTTTTAATGATGCCCTAACTTCCATCGATCCATGATCTCAACCAAATACTTAACAATCTTCACAAGTACATACTGATAAGGTAATTATCACCTTATTACTCCAAGATAATAAGTGATATTTCATTACAAATTTAGAGTACAATTTAAAGAAACATAACATTTGTTGCATCAACGTATGAGTTAAAACTGCAAAATCATCAGTATCTCACAGGTCTTTTCATTTAATTTCAATAATCATAACTTCGTAATGAACGAGAACACAGGTGGGGACAGCCAACTGAATTTCGTTACAAAATTACAGAGTTCCTTTGTCAAATATGAAACCGATACATTAAATACTTCATTTTCAAATCCTCCATCAAGTGCCTCAAACTTCGTCTTTCCTTCATTGGCATAACAATTACTCTATCTTCCCGTTCTTTTTGAATTAATCTTACAAGCGCTCTGCTGCCAGGCATATCACTTCTGATTGGTGTCATATACTACTTATGTCAACATAAGAAACATACACTACCATTTATCATTGTACGGAAAATGCGGTCATAACCTAATTTTATTTTATTTATTAAGGATTTTGTCTTAATTTATTTCAAATAAAATTGATGTATCAAACAACACAGTACGTGTAAACCCTGTCAATTAACATTTCTAATGAAGTGAATACTGTATTGTTAACATTTTCAACTGTTTCTTAAGATGTATTGTTTCAATGACCTGTGCAAACAATGTGGAAAGAATAAAATTTGTTTATTTGTTTCCGTTAAGTTTATATAAAGCTTAACGAATAAAAATAACCGGAAACGATATTTCATTCAATCACAAAAGAATTAATTACAAATTAATACAACTAGAGAGTTACATAAAAGAAGTGTAAGTGATGTCTTGATCCGGGGACGCAGCATTAAATTTTTATGTGTAACATTCCCCTTACAAACAACGCGATATATTATTTAACTACTACTTAATTACCTAGAAAAATAATTCCATGTATGTATCAATTATTCAAACATACTTTTAAATATTAAGTAATATCAGTATGAAACAATTAGTCCCTTTGATAAATTTGGATGGTACAATGAGAAGACGAATGTTATCAGAATTATTTAATATAATTGCTCAATAAATTTCACTCTGATTACACATATACTTATTAAGAAGAGTTATATGCAAAAAACAAAAGTTCCACCTTTAGTTTTCTTATCGCATCATCCAAAATTATCAGTTTTTGGTTAATGTGATACTGAAACAAAATATTCACATTACTTTACATTTTGAGAACATATATTTTCCAATATTAATTTGTGTCCATTTAACTAAGATAATATTTTGGATATTTTCATATGTCCGCTATTTGTATGTGACAAATTATCATAAATTAGTACGTACGTGTATAATTCAGGATCATGAAATATGCATGTATACATTTTCATTGTTTTCAATTACTCAAAATCGACCTATCTGAATTGAATGATTATAAATATGGATCAACTACAATGACTCTACAGTTGCTTCTTCTTTGTCACTGTAAATATTTTTCAACTTAAAAAATATAAGATTTCAAAACGCATGATAAATACATTTAGTAGTTGAATTCATGAGTCATGACCACCATGGAAAACCTGGAAGCACAGGACGGAAGTTGCGTGCTAGTGTAGGACTCCTAAGCAGTGCACATCTACGACTACGCCTCGCGAGATTGGAACCCAGGGCCTCTCAGTCTCACGCGTGAACGCTTAGCCTCTAGACCACTGATCCGGCTTGCATCCAATGGTGTTAATATCTAACTTCAACTAATCCACGAAGTTGCGCCACCGTCCACCATTGTTATCAATGAGTTACTATCTCACAACACACTTTTTTTGAACTCCACTGGTCACGACTTCTCATTAAGACTTCAGGAAATACTTCATGGAGACCGTCACTAGTGAGCATATGATAATTATAATGAGAGATGTGTTTTGTGGATATTATAGTAGTCTAGCATCAACTGACTCATGAATTCAACTACTAAATTACTACAATATTCACAAAAGACCTCCCTAATTATAAATACATTTGTCAAAACTATTTATTTGGAAATGGTCTGATATAAAGTAAACATATTTTGTTTTCACAAGTAATTCAATAATTTCTTTGTGTGCCACTGTTTGTGATTCAGCTACAGATCTACATCCTTTGATAAAAAAATTTAATGTTTTAAAGTACAGTACTGAAGCGATGAAATTATTTCTAGTATTCCCTAGTTAGTTTACAGTTTTACTGTTTATATTTATGACTTGTTTACTTCATTATTTGTAATTAAAGAAAATTATGACTGAAAATTTACTATTATAAAAATCATAGCATTTGCAAAGGTAATAAAACGTAAATGCAATGTCTGAGACATAACATTTAGAAAAAAAGTACATCATTACTAATTCACATTTGTATCATCTGATGTTAGCGATTTCATGTATAATCAAATCAACTTTGCCATCCCATTCCTCTATCAAAATTTATAAAGGGGATTAATTGATTTAAATACTTATGCCATAAGTAGACAATATATTACTTGTTTTTGAATAATTCATTCATTTAAACTCCACTCATTTATATAAATGAACTATTTAAAATGGTTAAATATTACATTATCAGTGAAATAATGATGATTAATTCTCATCACTAGATCATCTTGCTATGTTTGAAGAGATTACTAGTTCACCCAGTTTGCGAACGGAGCAAAGACTTTGTGACCAAAGACCAATAAGCTAGCTATTCTAATGCGTCTCAGCCTCGCCAACTAGAGAGAGAAATTCAAGTTCGAAACGGGGAAATATATTCCGTAAGTAGCCAGAAGCACGAGCAATCACAAACAGTTCAGTCGGAAACACACATTTATATATTAGTTTGTACACCGATTTTTGATCAATAATCAGAATTAATCAAAAATCTGAAAAATACTTCATACAAAAATATCGTGTATTATACAGAATAAAATGTCATAGGGGTAAACGAAACGAATACTATACTGAGTGATCATCAGATTGAATCAAACTGAATTAATGCTGAATAAAATATCATAATGAGTAAATTACTCTAATTTTGACTATTCACCCAAAAAATAAACTATTCATATTCTACTATATTTTTCATAGAGAACTAAGAAGATCTTGTTTTATTTCTCATTACTTGAAGTGTTAATTAAAATCATACAAACTAGGTTAACTTACATTTTCTTGTTTTAATTGATAAAGTGAAAATAAATAAAATAATTGAATATGTTCTTGAATAGCCACAGTTTTATCACGTTCAACTTCATTTGAATCATTTTGTGCGCTTAAATTTAGCGCTAAATGAATTTCACCTTGAACTTTTGATCGATTTGAACGACCTTCTAATTTGAACCAACTATCTAAACCTGTAGATGGTATATCCTACAATATAGTTAAATCATAGAATTAATATCAATTATAAGTAGAAGTATTTTTTTTAAAAAGTAGCATGGGTTACATTAATTACATTTCCTTATTGTAAGGAACTAGATCTGATAACTGTACTATTCAATTCTAGTAATGAATATTCTTTTACAAAAGATTCACTAATTAGTTGTGTTGTCATTTATACAAATGAAAAGTAAATTCGAGCTATGAGAACATAAATATACTACTTCAAAGGAATCGGCTTTCTCATCACGTAATTCGGTTTTTAAAGTGAAGGGAATTCAAAAGAAAACTAGTTGGTTATTCTTATGAGATCATATCATAACAATAAGCATTCACTACTCTACAAAAATTTACTACAACCATTCAATTATAAACTGCTGTACATCATTGAAATAATGAAATACCCTTTTTTTCTTTTCTCTATTTAAGGCTTCTATAATCGCTGAACGATTACAAATGATTAGTTGTGATTTTACTAGTGATAAAACATAAGTAGGTATTTAGATTTCTTTATTCTTGTAATGTATAAATACTATGAGTTAAAGAACTAAGAATCAAGAACCACTAGAAGAATATTATTAAATTCATATCAAAATTCATTTTAATGTACTGCCTAGTGAGTTCTCTACCCATATCCATATATCAAAAGTATGGAATTTAAGAAAGTAATCATAGAATTAATCATACAGTTCAGGCATGATTTGTAGTGTAAACATCTTAAAATGTGTTGGAAGATGGAAGTCATAACAAAGTTGATAATAACCATTAATCAACGATTTCATCTCTCAATTAGGTAAATTTCTTTGAATATATGGAAAGTAAAGCGTAAAACTTTTTATCAACCAAATTTAGTTAATAAAGACTAGGGCCTTTTTTGTGCAATGAGTACATTTCACGTTCATTTTGATAATTAAACCATGTAAAACATGTCGCATAAATATAAGTACTAAATCTCTAAATTTCCTCGCTTGTCCTATAGCTTGGATAAAATAATTCTCAAATGAAGAGAAACTGTTACCGATTTGGCTATTTCCCTAATAAGGTTTACCTGATATTGCTACCACTAATAATTGGAACAACAATCAATATGCTTTCATCTATAACTATTGTTCTCACTAAATTTCATATCAAATAAAAGTGACGATTAGCAAACAATGAATACAAATTTCGTTTATGTCTGTACACGTAATATCTATCAGATATCTTCTATTTCAACATTCAATGATATAAATGATACTCATTAATACCAATCTGTTTTAACTTATGAATTCAAAATAGCTATTGAAAAGTATACCGAATAAGATATTAACACATTTTCAGTTCAAACATAACAGATTAGTGAAACTACAATAACTGGAAACAAATGATTATAAGTACGTTGTATTTGTCTATGGTTGAATAAATTGGTACATAAACTGTTAACTTATGAGAATCTATTGGGATACAATGATAAATCATTAAATTCAAATAAATTATTGATGAGTGGTTACCATTACATCACAACCATTATCTAACAAACGATGAGATTAAATACATTTATTCATAAATATTCAATCAGACTGAAATTTTCTTAATACAATATTCCAAAGAAATGGCTTAAGAATTGGTTCGGTATATTGTGAATTATTGAATAATTACCCAATGACACTGTGAAGCGATCATCAATTGTATTCAACATATTGAATTAATTATGCTTTTTAATAAACATGTCAACATTATTCTATAAGTTTTACTCTGTTTGTATATTTAGTATTAAATAAAACAAAACGAAAGATCAATTGTTCACTTACTTTGATATCGATTGTGACACAACCTAAAAAATCATCCATATCACCAGTTTGATTTTTACGTGCTGATTGACTAACTTGTTTAAAGTAACGACCTAACTGTTTTACACCACGAATTTCATTTAAACTCCGAACCGCTTCTAATACACTGGTCTCTTCATCATGATCCCTAATAGAAGAAAGATAAATTAATTGATCAAATTATCAATGATTGTTTATATGGTTATCAATAATGATGATAATCAACCCGAAAGTATAATACATTCAGTGACAAAATCTACACAAAAACATCATTTTTCCCATGATTAACACAAGGTTTTAACTAGCGTTTAGAATGTATGTTATTTCTTAGACATAAATTCGTGTTGAATATATTCATCCGCAAATTTACTGCATTGTTAATTTTATTCAGTAAATTATAAATTAAACCGGTCGCTTGTCCGATTAGTGAACGATTAGATATGTGATTCTTTGGTTAATCTTTGGTCTATAGTTAAATTTAATTCTACTTGAAACGTTGAGGAGCTATATGTAAGTTGCTACCACACACATTCATTGATCAGATGAGCCTAAGATAGAGCATAAGAAGTGTCGTTCGAACATGAAATCTATGCATAGGTTATAAATAACCGATAGACTTCCATCACGGTCAATAACAAAAATAAGTAAAAATAGATCATAGATATGTCCAAATACATAGCTGATCATTTGTCTAAATTACAGCTAAATGATTGTTGTAAATACGACAACAAACATTTGACACACTTATTATCAGTCCATGATTAGATAATTGTTGAAAGTGCTATGAACATATAAACATAATGTGTTGCATGTAAACAAATTTAAGATCAAATGATTATGCAACCTAATCAATCTTCACTAAATACCATAATAAATAAATTTTTTGGACAAGTGTCACTAAAATGTCAAAAAATGATCCGTATATTTAAATTTGGACCTATAATTCGACTGTATTATTAATTGGCTCCCAAGAAACTACATCAAACTATGTAAAAAAAGAAGCAGGATAATGACTTTGGAAATACCAATTACTGACTACCTGTCTCAGTTTGATTTCTAGTCACTTTTTTCTATTGTCGACTTAAATATATAGTGCAAAATTATTAATGAGGCAAAATGATGTTATTTAACATAGATTATTTATGAATCAAACAATGTCAGACCATCATTGAAAACCTAGAATCTTTGAACAACCATTTCGTTCTACTATGGCACTTCATAACAATCTTCACAACCATATACTGATAGATTATTTACGAAAAACTATTTAAAAACTTATGATCAAGATACATTACATCCTTTTTTAACTTATCATCAAAATTATATTGTACCGTATCAGACTTGCACGCAATAGATGAATATGAAATATTCTGTTCATCATAATGTAAATTTCATATCCATTTTTTTCTCACGCTTACAATAGTCTATATCTTTCTAATGAAATTCTTATTTCAATGTAAAACATAAACAATGAACGATTGTGATAATCGAAAAGGAGAAAAGAAAAACATAATTACATTCCATTGTATTGTATATGTTACATTTATATTTCAGTTAAATTTAAATTTCTTTTATTCTTTAATTAATTAGTATCATTGATATACAATTAAGTCATTATTCATCTTAATAACATTCTGTAATAACAAAACAATAATCAGTCAATCTAAGTTAGTTAAGTGAATTTTCTTGTAATTTTCTTGCATTTTTTTCATATTATTATACACACATTTCATTTTAAAAAATAAAACTTGATAATAACCAAGAAGGGTTGTTAAAGTAAGGAAGAACAACACAAAAAAATGGAGGGAATTTAAAAATTATGAATAACTGAAAAGAAATTTATTAAATTCACTTGATAATGTTTGCTCGTATCTTATCAGTGTTGTTTTAGGACTGTAATTGATCAGTCTCTTGTTGGTATATGTTCATCTTGTATGGACTGCTTCAATATTGTATTAGGTTACAAGCTTTATGCGTAAAGATGGATAGTAGCTAGCAATGGAATTCAGGACGTGTACAATAATAAACGAACATAGGATGTTTTTGAAGTAACCGATTTCAATTCAACTTATTGTTCATATTATGGGCGGGAAAAGTTTAAATAATGATGTATCATAGTAAAATGATCTGACTTTTACACAATACCTCATTATCCATTTTGTGTAATCAACAAAGCAAATATTAATTCGTTACGGAATATGGAATCTACGTGAATATATGTATACTAATTAACGGTGTTATAAAACTTATCAACTGTCTGTATTTATAATAAACTTTGAATGAAAAATTTCATAAATTTTTTATTCTAATGTCAACTGAATACGAAAATCAAGATATGTGTGTCATGGTTTCTATCTGTTACGCAGTAATTAAACGTCGATCCTTGAACAATTAATCTAATTAATTATTTATGAAGTATACCAATCATCATGAATATCAAATATTGTCTCTGTAATATACGAAGATTATGACATACATAACATGTCATATATAACATATATTACTAACTGAATATTAATGTTGCTATAACTATTCTTGTCTAAGGATGATGACTCAATAAAAAGTAATTTGACCATAAAAAAAGATTTATGATGAGATTGGCAAGTAAATAAAATATACCTAATGATTAAGGTATACCTTTTTCAGTTACATTTCATTTCAGATTTATTGTCAAATACTGAAAACTTGTATTTCTTTTTGTTTTGCAAAGTGTAGATTCAATGTGATAACATGAAATCCAATAGTGAACTAATTAAGTGAGATTTCTGAAAACATTTTGTATCAGGCAAATTCACTTAAAATCTATATCAAAAATCTAAGTGACCAATGATACAAAATTTCTTATTCTGTTCTTCAAACTTATCCCATCTTTGATAATGTTATAATGGACGGCATAATTTTTTCGTAAATGATCACTTTACAGTCTATAAGTTTTAGTTAAATGTGTATTGTAGCTGGTTGTGTCAACGCTTATTTTCATTTCCCACCAAAACAGAAATATTTGAGTCTATTCAATCTCTTTGATGTGATGTTAATTCTCAAGATATACTATGATAATATACTTTTCATGAGAACCATTTTAAAACGTTTCAGTCTATAAATAACATTTTACATTATACATAAAGGGATGACCTCACTTCAAAACCAGAGCAAATCAGTTAAAACTGCTTAGAAATTACATTTTATGAATACATAACCGAACAGTGTCCAACGTTGATGTCACTGATGGCCGAGTTTACAAACTTCAGGGCCTGTCATGACAAACACTTAGATTTTAGACAATAAAGAGATCTTTAAATGAAATTCAGTGTTTAATTTACTTCCGGTTTGAATTGTATTTGAAATTTAATTTCCATTTATTGAGTTTCTGGTGACCTAATTTAAATAATTGATCTAAGTCATCTACAACACTAAATGATACATTAAATTGTTCAAGTTATATTTGAACATGCCAGAAAATGATTGTGCGATTGTTGATAATTATTCTTAACAAGTGACTATGGATATGAACTTGTCATTTCTTGTTGTATGTAATATTATGTATGTAATATTATGTAGACAATCATTGGAAATCAGGATTAATTAGACGATCATTTAGTCCTTATGCATGGCTTCCCATCAGTATACATTCACGACCCTATTGGGGATCGAACGCACTAACTTTCAGGTTTCTGCCGTGCGCCTAATTTTAAATCACTGATCTGGGATCCAGTGATTTGGATGTGAAACTTTATTCTATTAGTGTCTCTGTCTGGTCATCTCACATTGTTACTGGTGTGTAAATACTCCACATTTGATCACTCTTTCTCCGTGAATTGAGTCATGATACAAGTCACATCAGCATGTAATTGTTATTACCATTGAGTCTTCGTGAAGATTGATGAACTCAGTGCACATCACTAACTGATCATAGTGAAATATCGAATAAAGGATACGAGACCCAAACCACGGTAAAATCATGTATTTTTAATTCTGAATAGTTCACTACTATTATAAAACGTCTTTTCCTTGCTACCTGATTGTCATTGATTGCCCATTTGAAACAATCTCGTGCTGTCTACATTAAAATTTCTGCATCCACAAATAACACTCTACACTTATGAGATCAACAACTTTGGGACCGTAAATTTCTGAAACATGAGTTTTTTTATTATTTACTGCTTTCGTCAAATAGATATTTCTTTGAAAAATAAAGTCCTATATTTCCACTTACAATATTTTATTCGTATTGCATTTATTGTTTACAATTATTTGAAATACATACATTTATTTAATCGGAGTTCATTCCCATGATAATGTTGCACATTGTTAGAAGTGTACAAAAGATGGATTTGACAACTAACTTCGTTGATAATAATCGATCTGCACTAAGAAGGACGTGACAAACATGACATTGATCACCACCCAGTGATCAATCAATTGTGAATACATTTCAGTTCATCAGGAGGTCAGTCGCGGCCTGGATAGTCTAGTGGTAACATATTTGAATGTGAAGCCGTAGGGGAGCATCAGCTGAAACAAGACTACAGGTATACCTTGATTACAAGTGCCAAATAGCATGAAATCCGGGTCCATAGTTTCCTGTTGGCTACCTTCAACCACTATCTTATCTCAACATGGTGCACGCAATGTCAAGTAACTTAGACTAGTGGCCATTTTGAAACGCAGTCGATAGCATTCGATCTGCTCTGAGAAGGACCTGATACACATGACAGTGATCAGCACTCAGTGATCAATCAATTGTGGATAACTAATTTCATTTAATAATCAAACTATATAGACGACATGTTTTTGTATTCTACTTTTGATTATAAATTAACTATTATAAGTTGGTTAAATAAGAAAATTAATTCATGTAGTGAATTTCTTAAACCTTTGAACAGAGTTTTCTATTTTAATCAACTTTGGAGACTACCCAATACTTCATTTAATATGTAAACCTTGTGTTGCAAATGTAAGACCTCAGATAAAATATTATTTGCTATACTCTTCGAGCAGATGAGGTCTAAAATACAGTAACGATTTATCAGGACTGAATCTTATCGAATGACAAAACTATGATATTTACAAGTAATAAAAGACTTAGGATTTAAGTTCGAAAACTACTTCTCTTCAAACTACATAAAACCATTAATGAACATTCTTTCT